GATGAACTAAAGATTAAGACTGTTAGAAGTAAAAAGAAGGAATATAAAGTTGGTTTATTTGATCAAAGTTAGCACATTCATTTGCAAAGTTCTGGAAATTCTTTAAAGACTTTGTTCTGAAAGGATTATAAAGTTGATTTTTTGCTTATAGATAAGGGATGGGATACGAGATGAAGAGATATATGTTTGTAATTTTATATAGTGTGAAGTTACTAAACATGTCTATATTTGTAATGAAATTTGGAACTCACTTCTTTATGTATTTTATTTATGTATCATATTCTTTTTTCATGCAATCTTTCTTACTATTTTTACTTAAAGTTTAATTTGTATTCATTTTTACTATTGTAATCAAAATACATAATAAGCAATTATATACAAAGAAAACAACAGAATGAACCTGGCTCAGAAAGAAATGCTTGGTTTGATAGACAATACATTAATTTTTAAAAAAAGAACTTCAATATAATGCATAATTGGAACAACCAGCTTGAAAGCCAGCTGGGTGACTTTGGCCCAGTCCCTCTCTCTCAGTCCAACCCACTCCACAGAGTTGTTGTTGTGGGGAAAAGAAAAGAAGAAGATGTGCTGGATATTTTTGCTACCTTGAGATATTTGTAAAAAAATAATAAAGGCAGAATACAAATACTTACATAAATAACACTGTAACTCATTTTTTTAAAAAATATACGTAAAATAGTAACAGGCCTATTTGATATTTACAAAACTATAATTATTTTCAGAGACAAGATGGAGACAAAGACAAAAACACTGCCATCATATTCTGCTTAAAATACACCAACCACGTGCTTCTGGCCATTAGGTATATATAAAATATGAAGGTGGTGGTCTCATTGATCTTCATAACAGTCTTATTAAATTATCTTGGGTTCTTATTCTGAACTGACACATAAACAAATCCCCATGAGGTATACGCAAGTTGCAGCATCACAACCAATTTCTTGCTATGCATACCCTTTTATGAAAATGGACATGTTGTGATAATAGGAAGAATGAACAAAATATAGAATGAAACAATTATTTATATAGGTGAAATTTGAACTTCAGTGGGAGAGTCTGGACTATAACATATAATAAAGTTCATACAACCTGGAGAATAAGCTGTTGAAGTTCTAAAATCATAACTTCCTCAGACTATTCAAAATAGTTAACTACTGGCTTGCCTGCTGACTCACATAAAATGCCTGAAGCAAAAGACTAATCCATACTAGGATTTAAGAGAAGATATGATCCTTGGAATGCCATCTGTATCAGTTTCCATAAAATTCAATGTAAAAGCTATATTTTAGGTCTGATTCTTCTGGACCACAGTTTAGTCTTCTTCAATTAGGACAATCTCCTGGAAGTAACACAATGCAGCAAATGCTACATTCAGAAAAGAAAACTCAAACCCTTTTCTCAGAGGATGCCTGTCTTTCAGAAAACAATACTACATATCTCTTCCCAATCGCACTATTTGAAAAAGGCAGAATTTGCCAAAAAATACAGGGGGTAACATTGAGCCATGTTTTTGTGCTGCAATTCTTTCATCTCGCCCTACAAGGAAGCATGGTGCAATGCTTGTTACAAGGGCTATATAACTGATTGCTTATAGCAATGAGTAAACTTCCGACTTTGCTGTAAATCCCTCACTAAATTGGCTTCCAAGATGTGCTTCTTATACAACCTCTAAAGCATGGTCTACCAGCTTTCCATTCTCAAATAGTTCCCACCAAAAAAGTCCCTTTCCATTTGTTCTTAGACTTAAGGTTCCATAAACTTAACAAGACTGAATCCCAAATCATATATTTCAACTTGGCAGCTGTAGTGTCTCTTATCTGTAGCTTCAGGTAGTTTTTCTTTAATTAAGAGTATTTCTTTGCCAATGGAAATGGAGGACATTTTATATCCAGAATGAATGGACCTCTCTCATTAGATCCACTGCTGTCATGAAGTATTCAAGCTGTGAGATATGGTTCATTCTCTTTTCTGTTCAAGGACTTCTTTCTTTCTTTAGTAGAGAAAGGTTTTAGAATGAGTGACTCATATTTGCCAAATTTGACATGAGATATATTGATGTGAAATGCCTTTATCAGGACAAGCCTTCAGAAAGGTGATGTTCCACTCAGGAACTTTTTCCTCGTTAAAGATACTGCATCTCAATAAGGAAAGAAGGCTGGTGAATAGGAAAGGAAGAGCTGTCTCCCCTTTGCCAGTCCAATCGATGCTGATCAGGGGAAGCCAAAAATGTTGATCCACCAATGCAAAGAGTGAATACAAAATCAGCACCTCGTTATTGATTCTAGTTTTATAGTCATGGTGAGAAGGGAGGTGTAATTGTACACCCAGCAATACACTTCCAATTTCAGATAACCTCATGACACCACCTGGAAAAAGCAAAGCCTGAGCTTTTTAATGCCTCGATACTTAGAGCTGCCATCAACCCCTAACAAAGAACGATGTCTCTAAAGTGTTTCAAAATAATGTAACATTAAGTAAACTATATTATTTCTGGGCAGAATTGCTTTCCATCAGTTACCCATGCTTTAGTAGTCTCCCATGGGGATCGCAGCCTTGCACTGTATCCAGGCCTGCCTCCAAAACTATTTCCAAGTTTCTGTTAGTTCAGAATATGTCTGCAGGAAAACTGAATTTACTGAACAGCTACTTCTTGATAAGTTTTGGAGACCAGCACAAAGTCCTGATTTTGCCCTTCCAGATTCTTTCCTCACCAGAACAAGAATATATTTTCTCTTCATTGGGTACAATGAGATTCATTTTGCCTGTCTTGTTCTTTCTGTATAGCATATATCAACATTGCCCAAAACCTTTCACATCTTTTGCCTTGAAATAATTATTTTGTTCCCTGGGTAATGAGGTTATTATTAGAGAGCCAGTTTGGTGTAGAGAATAAGGTGCTAGACTAGAAACCAGGAGATTGTGAGATCTAGCTTCCCTTAAGTATGAGAAACAGATGGGCAATTTTGGATCAGTCACTCTCTCTCTCCTCCTAACCCAACTCGTAGAGTTGTTATGGGGAAAACAGAAGACAGGAACTTTAAGTATGTATTTGAGTTTACCAAAAAATAAAGAGAGGCTAAAAAATTCCAATAAATAAATAATATTATATCATGGCAGAGTTCAACTGTTAGTTATTCCATCGTGACAATTTTTCCACCAGTGTTACCACAAATGATAGCAGGGCAGCTATGTGTTTTATTTGTATGTGTTTAAGCTTAAACCAAAAGGTGTATATACATTGTTTTCCTATTGAAAAAGAGCTATACAATTTTGGTGACTCTAGTGACTATCCAAAAAAGATACATCAGTGGCTAAAGAGAAACTATGACCACAGGTTGTCTTAACAGGCACTACTGAAAGTACAGACAACCATTTCCCTCCCTTCTTACGTATATTGCGATTTGTTTCAAATGCTAATGATAAGTAAAACTATACTATAAAACATGTAATTTCAAAAGCACACAATTTTATTCCTCTGCAATTGTTTGAAAAATGTGTTTTAATAGCTGTTATCTACACCAAAACATTCTTGCAATTTATTTAATAACTGGCCTTTGTCTTTATTTTACCACAGCATCATGCTATCCCACTCTCAAATATGGATTTTAATTCATAGTTCTGAAACAGGATTTAATAATTTGTGTAGTAAATGTGCAGTGGCTGCTTCCTCTGCAGGTTACCTTTAGGCACAATTAAAGTTCAGTGAGAAGTATAAGTGATGTATCCTGTAAATCCAACCCTCTATGTTTCTTTGATCTCAGAGGCAGTCTGCGAGCTCTACATCAATCCCATTTGCAAAGAGATGTAGCTCAGTTGTGCTTTGCTAAATCTTATTTGGCAATGTGTCTAAACACATGCAAACTTAATTAGTTAAGGGGGAACCTCAGCATTGTAGTGATGGATAAAAGTAAATGGGGAAATGAGACAAGTCAGGATTGGCAACAAACCTTCTCTAATTCAAGCCAAGGCATAGTCTCTGACATATAGCTAATCGGATGTGATACCACTAAGGCTGCTACAGCCAATCTGAAATAAAGTGACAAGCTGATCACTAACAGGTAGCTGAATTTCTTACTTCTGAGAAGCTGGAATCACAAGATCATGAATTTTCTATTTGGCACCAGCAATGCTCAGGAATCAGCCTAATCATCAGCCTCTGAAGCTGTTGTATAAAAAGATAAATGGAAAGAAGGAATAAATGAGCCATTTTCATAGCATTTTCTGAATCTGGAATCAAGACTTTTGTGCCATTTAAATGAAAATGCATGTAGAAAACAAAGATGGATATTAACATTCCCCAAACTGCTCTATCCCATCTCTTGTGGGCCACAAAACTACTTATCCTGCTTGAAGACATAAGCTTCTCTTGTTTTCTGTTTTTTTCTTTTTCCTTGTCTATTTCATCATATTACTGAAAAAAATAAATTAAGCAAACCAGCCTATAATTTCCCAGATCTTAATAGCCTAATAGTAATATTAGTTGTTTCTAGTCCTCTAATCCAAAAGCTAACCATGAGAACAATCACACATTTGGTTTAAGTTATGAAATGATTTTTTTCTTGATATTAAAGATCAGACCCTCTTAATCTGAAATGTGCTCAAAAGGAATAGTTTTGTCTACATCACGCATCCTGAATAGTTAGAATATTTTCAAAAGTAGAAAAGCCTGGAATAAAAATGTGTCAAACGGAAGGGTGCGGAAGAAACAGGACTTTTATGCCATTTATATATTTATACAAGCAAAAAGTAAGCTCCAAGGTCCTTCATTATTGTGCTTCTAATATATTTACATGCTGGTACATAGAGGAGTAATGCAGAAAAGTCAGAACTGACCATTCAAGAGGCTGCATGCATTAGTAATACTGTATATCACTCAGACACAGCCCCAAATTAAGAGATGCACAGATGTTCCAGTGAGGAAGAAAAGCTGGCAGGGGGCAAGAATCACCAGAATATGAATACCTCTGTCCCATACTTACATTACTTTCAAGTCCCAATCTCCACAGGTAACAAAAATAGACTTGACCGTGGGATCCAAAAGGCCTTCCTTTGCCATCCACTCATCAACTCTCTGAAAGAAACAGACAGAAAGGAGATGAACTTTCAGAGACATGGAAAAGAGATGCATCAGTTAAATACTGATAAGCCTCACAATCACAAGAGAAGAAAATTGTGATCTTATCCAGGACAGCCGCCTCCTTACTTCCATCTCATCCTGTTCCCCTTCTCATTTCTATGAAGGTAAGTTTGGATCTTTGAAGATTTCCAATAGGAGACATCAAGCAGCCAGTGAAGTGATGATTTTATCAGGCACACATTTCTGCTTACAGAACGACTTCTGAAAATTAATATTGCTTGGCCATTTCCTGCATGCTCTGACCCCGCTTCAACATCTTAACAAGTAATTATTTATAAAATCATGCTCAAGATTCTAAATGAGCAGGCTTAATCAGCCACACAGCAGCAGCAACAAAGCAATCCAAATAAATACTTCCTAACAATTCTTCCTTTATTATTCATTTCTGTACTTAAGTCTATCACTAATGAACTAGTGGCTAACAATAAGCTAAAACTAAGTTACTAATCATCATCATCATTTTAGCCAGTCTATCTACTTCAGGATGAAGGTCTCTTCCACATGTTTCCAACCAATACGGTTGGAAGTTACTAATAAAATACTAAAAAAAAAGACAGCAACCTGCCTAATTGAAAACATGTTTTTTGGATAGCAAAAGGGATTAATATGACCTCCCTTAGTGCAGCCCAAGAAGGTTCATTCTCACATCTTCAGAAATTGTTCCTCCAATGAGTTTAGAATCCAGATAGATTTCTTAAGTCTGGGAAGAACAGTAAGGTTTCTCATATGACCAAGTCCAAAGATGCATAGGACCTTGAACTTTGTCTATAGATAGACCAGTAACCGGGGCATCTACAGTATATTAATAATATGGTCATGTGCTTCATAGGCTCAGTCAATAGTCTGATTTGCAAATATATTAGATACAGTATATCTGCAATAGATATTGAGCCCAAACTTTTTGTTGCTAAGTGAAACATTTGTTAAGTAAATTTTGCTCCATTTTACGACTTTTTGTGCCACTGATGTTAAGTGAGTCATTGCAGGTGTTAAGTTAGTTACATAGTTGTAGAGTGAATCTGGCTTCCCCATTGACAATGCTTGTCAGAAGATCACAAAACGTGATCACATGACCCCAGGACTCTGCAACTATCATAAATGTGAATCAGTTGTCAAGCAATTTGTCACTGACTCAAATATTGGAACATGATTACAGGGATGCTTGCTGTTGTAAGTGTGAAAAATGTAAATCATTTTTTTCAGTGCCGTTGTAACTTTGAACTGTCACTAAATGAACTATTATAAGTCGAGGACAACCTGTATATTACATTTATAAACATTTTGAAAGGTAACCTAAGGTATAGAATTGAATAAAACTTAATAGTCCAGAGTTAGACAAAATTATTACTATAATAGTTTTCCGGAGTTCTTAATTTGAAAAAATATTAATAATAATAAAACAGGAAGCTGCATGCTGAAAAGAAATGTGCCAATCTCTAGTATCATATTCATTTATAGCTGAGCATAATGTAATTCCTATAGGCATTTAGAAAATAAAAAAAATGAAAATAATGGGTGATTGCAGCCTTGTGATTTGTTTGAATTTGGCCCAGAAGAACAACCTAGGGAAGCTGGTGGCAGCATCCTCAGGTACTAGAGAAGGCAAGGGAAGGAATCTTATCAGTTTATTTTATGCCAAATATCTATGTTGTGTAGCCATCATAGCAACTATTTCATAAATAGTCAATCCTTCCCTACCAATCATTTAGTTATAACATTCATTATATTTTCTCAGAATTCCAAGCACACCATAACACCTTTCTTAATACCTCCGGAAACAATAGAATTATTACTAGCCTTAAATGTGAAAATGAACTCCTTAGCATCATGAAAACATGGATACTCATCCTCAAGATCAAATCCAGAATTAATGCAAACTTTAATTCTATATATTCAGGGGAAGCATAGCTCCATCCTTACATCCTAAAATATGATAAAATACCAGCAATAACTACAGTTTTACAGGATAGTTAAATCTCTTAAAATTGCATTGAGTTGAATGGTATTATTTAGACCATGAAGTTCAACCCTCTTCTCACGGCAGAAATAGAAATGAAAGCAACCCTACAAATATTGTTCCAGACTTTGTTAAGATAGCTAGCAAATGAAAGAGAATCTAATGGTTACAGCTGGTATGAGGCCTTAGGAGATATTGAAAAGTTTTCTCTAGCATTTAGTCTGAATCTAGAAACAATGGGCTGGTTTACTATGAATTCCATATGATAATACTGAAAAAAGATTAATGGAACCAGTGGTGAAATGTAAAATTTGTTACTACCGGTTCTGTGGGCATGGCTTGGTGGTGGTGGGGTAATATGACTAAGTGGGCGTGGCCAACTTTTTTTTTTTTTTTTTTACTTTTAAAAGCATTTTTTCTACAACCTCTTCGCCTCTGACGATCCCAGCTGACTTGCTTGATTGGCAGAGGCTTTCTTTTTTTTTTTTAAAGCCTCTGACTATCCCAGCTGATTTGCCTGATCGGCAGAAGCTTTTTTTTCCCTTTAAAAACATTTTTTCTATGTTTTTTTCTAAACATCTTTTCTATGTCGGCCAAAGAGGTTGTAGAAAAAATGCTTTTAAAAATTAAAAAAAGCCTCTGATGATTGCGCGGCTCAGCTGGGCAATGGGCGGGGGAGGGATTTTTGCTACCGGTTCTCCGAACCACCCACCACCATTGCTACCGGATCAGGTGATCCGGTCCAAACCAGGAGCATTTTACCCCTGAGGTTGTAACTGAAGTCCACACATCTTAAAAGTAAGCAAGGAAAATTCCAAACCTCATCAAACAGAACCCTCAAGATCACAGATACCATTTGGAGTCTCTTGTTGTTGTTGTTGTTGTTAATTGCAAAGTTGTGTCCGACCCATCGCGACCCCATGGACAACGTTCCTCCAGGCCTTCCTGTCCTCAAATGGACTTTGGAGTCCATTTAAGCTCATGCCTACTGCTTCAATGACTCCATCCAGCCACCTCATTCTCTGTCGTCCCATTCTTCTTTTGCCCTCAATCTTTTCCAGCATTAGGTTCTTCTCATTAGGTGGCCAAAGTATTTGAGTTTCATCTTCAGGATCTGGCCTTCTAAAGAGCAGTCAGGGTTGATCTCCTCTAGGACTGACCGGTTTGATCGCCTTGAAGTCCAAGGGACTCGCAGGAGTCTTCTCCAGCACCATAGTTCAAATGCCTCAATTCTTTGGCGCTCAGCCTTTCTTATGGTCCAACTTTCACAGCCATACATTGCAACTGGGAAAAACATAGCCTTGACTATATGCACTTTCGTTGGCAGGGTGATGTCTCTGCTTTTTAGAATGCTGTCAAGATTTGCCATAGTTTTCTTCCCCAGGAGCAGCTGTCTTTTAATTTCTTGGCTGCTGTCCCCATCTGTAGTGATCTTGGAGCCCAGGAAAATAAAAGCTGTCACTGCCTCCATTTCTTCCCCATCTATTTGCCAGGAATTGAGAGGGCCAGATGCCATGATCTTACTTTTCTTAATGTTGAGTTTCAAGCCAACTTTTGCACTCTCCTTGTTCATTCGCATCAAAAGGCTCTTTAGTTCTTCTTCGCTTTCTGCCATTAGAGTCAGAGGTGGGTTTCAGCAGGTTCTGACCAGTTCTGGAGAACCGGTAGTGGAAAATTTGGGTAGTTCAGAGAACCGGTAGTAAAAATTCTGACTGGCCCCACCCCTATCTATTCTCTGCCTCCCAAGTCCCAGCTGATTGGGAGGAAATGGGGATTTTGCAGTAACCTTCCCCTGGAATGGGGTGGGAATGGAGATTTTACGGTATCCTTCCCCTGCCACGCCCACCAAGCCATACCCACTAAGCCATGCCACGCCCACCAAGCCACACTCACAGAACTGGTAGTAAAAATTTTTGAAACCCACCACTGATTAGAGTGGTGTCATCTGCATATCTGAGGTTGTTGATATTTCTCCCGGCAATCTTAATTCCAACTTTTGATTCATCCAGCCCCGCCTTTCTCATGATGTGCTCTGCATATAAGTTAAATAGGCAGGGTGACAGTATACAGCCTTGCTGGACTCATTTCCCAATTTTGAACCAATCAGTGGTTCCATGTCCAGTTCTCACTGTTGCTTCTTGACCCGCATATAGGTTTCTCAAGAGACAAATAACATGGTCTGGTACTCCCATCTCTTTAAGAACATGCCACAATTTATTGTGATCCACACAATCAAAGGCTTTAGCATAGTCAGTGAAACAGAAGTAGATGTTTTTCTGGAACTCCCTAGCTTTCTCCATGATCAAGCATATGTTGGCAATTTGATTTCTAGTTCCTCTGCCTCTTCGAAATGCTCCCTGTACTTCTGGTAGTTCTCGATCCACATACTGCTGGAGCCTAGCTTGTAGGATTTTAAACATAACTTTACTAGCATGTGAAATGAGTGCAATGGTGCAATACATTCTTTGGCATTGCCTTTCTTTGGAATTGGAATGTAAACTGATCTTTTCCAATCCTGTGGCCACTGTTGAGTTTTCCAAATTAGCTAGCAAATTGAGTGTAGCACTTTTACTGCATCATCTTTAAGATTTTGAATAGCTCAGCTGGAATATTATCGCCTCCACTAGCTTTGTTGTTGCTCAGATTTCCTAAGGCCCATTTAACTTCACATTCTAGGATGTCTGGCTCGAGGTCAGTGACCACCCCATCATGGTTATCAGGGACGTTAAGCTCGTTCTTATATAGTTCTGTGTAATTTTGCCATCTCTTCTTAATTTCTTCTGCCTCTTGTAGGTCCCTGCCATTTTGGTCCTTTATCATCTTTGATGGGCATCTTTGCATGAAACGTTCCCTTCATATCTCCAATTTTCTTGAAGAGATCTCTGGTCCTCCCTATTCTATTGTTTTCTTCTATTTCTTTGCACTATTCATTTAAGAAGGTATTCTTATCTCTTCTAGCTATTCTCTGAAATTCTGC